GGAAAGAGTTGTGGAATTTTGCGTAGAAATGATGCTTGGAAAAGGTTCTTCTCTCTCTGCATTAACGAGAAGCAAAGGTTGACTTCAAGGAAGATGGAAGGGTGGGTAAAAACGAAAATATCCCAAATATTGAGTTGTATTGTTCAGCTATGAAGATAGCACGAAGTGACCACCTTCGCCGGCAAGTTTTTAATTGTGCTTTACTTTTTTCATACCTACCATAACTTACAAGTAACCAGGGTGGAATCAGGAGTCTAAGGTCCCATAACAAAACCAGTAAAAAGACTTAAATTATGAGCATGTGGTGAACGCAAGCTCTCCCAAAATGTCACTGTAAGGTGTTAGAAATACATTATGCAGAAAATCTTCCTTTTTCAGGCAAAATAAAAAATATAAATCATTTAATAAATGCAGACTTTCTTTCTAATAATAATGGGGAGCCTAATTCTCCTGAAACGCTAGAAAATTGGGAAAGTAACTTCATTCTAGTTGCTATCTCGTAGGAAAATATTGAGAGAGTAATTTTGATCACTCTGAGGATCCTGAAACCACAGCACAAGCAGGATATGCAACTGGGACTCTAAAAAGTAAATCTTAAGAAGTGGATTGTATCAACAAGCTTCATACACAGTAACATAGAATGTAAGGTTTTCGGAGTAGAAGGCAGAAAAGAGGGGTTTAGAGAACTAATAATTCAAAATTGACTGGAAATAAATGTTCAAGATAGCTGCAGTCTAAAACGAGCCTCAGTTAATGGAAGGTTAAGAAGCAAAAAAAGGAATAAAAACTTGTAGGGGTAAGGCGAGCATGTAAAAATAGAGAGAAACGGAGATTTCAAGCAAATACTGACAGCATTATCAAGGCATCATTACTAAGGAATTTGACAATCAGTGCTACCGGGATAACTTAATGGCAAAAAGTGACGAGATCGATTTCAAAGAACTTTATTCATTATCAGAATATATAAAGACCAAGATGTTGTGGCCTCTGTTATTGTCGCAGTCTCCTTTCGATTTATAGAAGTGGGTTGACCTCGTTGTCGTAACTTAGTCTTGTTGTCGGGGCGACTATGTAGAACGCACCTAGTCCTAAGTCGTCTGCCATAGTAGTTGTCATGATTCACAGCATCTGATAGTTTACTTAATACATTCTTAAACGTTTCGCCGGTATCGTAGTCGGCATCATCCGTAAGCTTTGCCATTCTCCGCACCATGCTACGAACTCGGCAAAGAGACAAGTAAAGTCAATCCCTCGACAAGCGTTCTGCCGAAAACGGTTACACTATTACTCCTCCTTCTGTCAAGAGTGTAAAGAGTAGATAGATAGAAAATGACAGAATGAGTAGTGATAGTATAACCGTTTTCAGCAGAACGCTTGTCGAGGGATTGACTACACTTGTCTCTTTGATGAGTTCGTAGCTTGGTGCGGAGAATGGCAAAGCTCACTAATTGTGCCGACTACGATGCCGGCGAAACGTTTGAGAATGTATCAAGCCCATTGTCAGATGCTGGGAATCATGACAACTATTATGGCCCTGACAACAAAACCAAGTTGCGACAACGAGGTCAACCCACTTTTATTCACTATCGATGCTGTAAGCAGAGCCTTGCTAATGTTAATGATATGGAAAGAGTTGGTTAAAGGAAATCCTAGAATTAGTGCGATAGCCAACAGCATGGGTCAAGTTAACTAAAATTTTGGAGAATATATGAATGAGCCAGACAGTTGCAACAGTAATATGAAGACTAAAAGATAAGCTTGATTAAAAATAGTGAGTAGGAATAATAAGTTAAGAAAAATAGAGGATAAACATATCAAAGAATTAAAATAGATTAAATTGTTATAAAAAGCATGAATTAATAGCTGAATTTAGGCAGAATAAATAACATACTAATAAAAGACAAGGGGTCTGGAGGAATATAATAAAGCACTATCAATCACAGTGTGGTGTGGATAAATTGTAGCTGATGGCCATAGCGATGAAATAAAACTAGGAAATTGGTGTGGAAATATAGCTAACTAAGGTCAACACAGAAGGAAAATGAGATCATGACCATTAAAATGGTTATTCAATTTACTGCAAGATAATAAAAAAACAAAGGGTTTTTTCCTTTTCTGACATCAGATGTAGGCTTAACTTATATTCTATTTGTATTGAAAATTGGCATGGGTTACTCAATTCTTGCACATGCTCGAAAGTTTACCACTGTGAAGTAAATAAAGTTCGCGACAATGGTTAACAAGGAGACATATGCAGCACCATCAACGGACCGCTGGCGTGGTGTGCACCAGAAAGTTTGGTGGCCATTTTATTCAGTCTCATTTGTGAAGATAAGTATATTCCATGCCAAGAACCCTATCAAAAATGCAGCAGTATGCATATATATTGGGCCAGCCGTGAGATGCTGCAAATGTAAGGGTCAACTCACTACGGAAAAAACATTTTAAGGATCAGCTTCAAAAAAGTAGTAAAACAGAGGTAGTGTTATTCACTAAAATTCATGATGTTATTATTAAGGTTATTTTTATTTTGTATGAAGGTGAGTCGTCAAAATTTCATGGCCTGTTACTTGAGTTATTAAGACTACCATGGTAACATGGTCCTCGAGACAACTTCCAACGACTCATATGAAAATTTACTGACTATTTGGCCATCGTATCACATTACATATATAATAGAGCCTAATCCTTTTTTTATGACCATTTCAAGTTAACACCGAATCATCTCATTCCAACATGTTACATACAATCGAGCAAAATTAATTTTTTTTTCGGAATAAAACGATGTATGTAGTTCATTTTCAAACCATCTGTATGTGCCTGAGCGTGCGTATGCGTATACGGGTATGAAGCCACAACTAGTAGCCTCGAATCATTAGAACAAAGCATGAAATCTGTGCTATATCACAAAAGTCTAGTGAGTTTTCAAACTTATACTCAATAAATACAACACTAGGATTGTGATATTATCGGCATCAGCCTGGTTGGGTGTATCAATCAGCTAAAGGGATTCATACTTAACATTATACACCTTTTGTATAAGTTCGAGATAACTCCTTATTAGCTGATTTCAATGGCCTTTTATTTTGCACTTAACAGAAGAAAAACAACGAATTTGGGGCCATTATATCCTAGCCCCAGATTCTGATATTTTATCAAGCGACTGTGACAAATAGACCCGTAAACATCTACAGGAATCTCTGTTTTCACCTATCCTTTTAAGAATGGAGTGACAGCATTAGGACATAAATTTTCAGCTAAGTGATTTGACTTGGGGTGGCGCAGGTTTTTATCTAACTTGATATCTCATTGGTATAGATTCTTTGGACTCATACTTTCTAGAATGAATGGCGTTATGGTTTTTTTGTATTTACGGCTTGAGAGAGTACTTATCATACGAGAACAAAATAGTTTCCTATTGGAACCTCAGGCCAGCTTAGCACCCCATTGTATTACCAAAATATCTTAAAATGATAGGCAAATATTCTTTATTATTTATATTCTGTGGGCTTATTAAAGTTAGCAAATCAAATAGATTATTTATATCGCAATAACAAATAGCAAAGTACTCTTCCATATACTTAGGTTACTATTCTGTAAATAATATGCCTTTTTAGTAAATATTTTTAAGCATCAAATACTGCAGAAACTTGGATATGGAAAAATCTGAAATAGAGGAACAGATTGTATGTAAACGAAAGAAATCGACTGGAAAGGCTGGTTGTATATGGTGAATAGAAAAGGAAGTGCAAGATCATGGAGACAAGCGACATCCTGATTGAAACGAATCTAATAAACAGGATTAATGAAGGCTTTGTATAATGTCTAAATAAACTCGGAAAAGATCAGGTAGCAGCAAGAGCAACAAAAAGAACTCGATGAAAAAAATATTTTCAACTTGAGTAAAAGAGATCAAGAGAAGATATCTACAGTGAATCTATCGAAAACGAGTAGAACAAAAACATTTGGGGGTCAGGACATAAAAGGTTAGGACAAAAGGAGTCATATCATGCATGCTATGGGCTCTGGACAAGGTGCCTTCTTCTAGGTCTTCCTTCCAATATGACCAAGTTGCGAAAAACAACTTCTATACAACGAAAAGAGATCGCGGTCATACAAAATGCCACACCGTCCTGGTCTTCATACCTTCAAAAATTAGAGTTACAGCAAATTGAATGCTTACCAGAAGGCTATACTGAGCATCTTCCAGAGTATCTGAAGAATCGAGCAAAAAGTCGACCCTATAAGTTGCCGGACTCGTCAGAGCATCAATCATAAGATAGATTTCGGTAGGTTCCTTTTGCATTTTTCGCTCAGACAAACTTTCATCCATTTTGCCTAACTCAGTGGGGATCTCTATTAGCCGCTGGCCGCAATCATGTGAATTTCGGAGTCCCTGATCACAATTGGGTAGCAGAGAATCGGGCCAGCTTTTCCGCCAGATTAGCATGGGCTTAGCTGATCCTCGGTGGTTTGCACTTCGCTCGTTACTGTCCCAAGAACCCGGCGTCAGTCGAGCCTTAACATGTCTGTTGGAAATTGCGTCCTTATAATTGTTGTTTCTACTGATGTACGTTGTAGGGGCCCGTCGGGTAGCCGTCGGCGAAGTCGGTACTTCGGGCCGGCCATTCATCGCATTAACGATTTGGGACGAGAGAAGACGCTTGAATGTCAGCCAGAGCGGCGGGGGTCGCCAAGAGAGAAGGATCTGTCCTGTAGATGTACTCGTAAAGCGAGAACACGACGTGTTTACAAGTTCGAGTCGTCCAGCTCCTGGTGGTGGCAGAGGAGGCAAAATAGGGTTAGATGTTGAAGGAAATGCGGCGTGAAAGGAAAAATCAACAGCTAATCAAAACGTCTCAGAGTAACGTAGTCGATTTTTATAGCATATATACGTTTGCTCCATCGTCAATCCCAGCAAAGAATGTGATATGTAATATACGTGTTAAGCTCATATTCTGCACTTTCACGATTCGACTCCCGCTGGGGGTGTTGATAAGACCTATGCGAGGTCGAAACTGTAGTCAAACCTGGATAAGAACAACTTATGAGAAAGCAAGGCTATGTGAAATTCAATGGAAACGTCAGCTCTACTCATGTCATTGTGGGAAAATTCTACTACCAGTCCTTCATGACCTTAAACGCAATAGGATGAATACATCTCATAAAATAACATGGAAAACGGCAAACGCTAGTTTCGCTTAGAAAATGCGAAATTTCACCTATATTTAGATAAACAGTAAAGCAAAAAAAAGAAAGTAAAACTGACGTCAAACAATTCTAGATAGAGTAAGGTGCAAAATTTTAAAATATCTATTTACTTACTTATGTCGCCCATGACTACCTAACCAAGAGCTTAGTTGTTCACATGAGTTTTTCAAATCAAGCACGAATATGGGCTTTAAGACTAAATGTAGCGAATAACCTCAAACTTCTGAGATATGAAGAGAAGCTGGGTTGATGCCAGTATCAAACTAAAACTTCGTCGCCAGAAAACCCAAACATACTTGACCATCTACCCAAAGCACCCCGTAGATACTCGTGCATCATAATAAAGTAGCTAAAGTGACTAGCGCAAATTTTTTCTCTGTACATCAGTTAGTATCGGTATTTTGCATATGCATTCATCTAATAACATCCACTTCACACAAAGATCACTTGTAGATACCTTTCATTCGGATTACCCTACCCTTTGATAAAATTTTTGACCGTTTACATTTTGATTTCCTTGCGGCGAATTTTTTTCCAAATTCTGCATGTTACAATTTTGCCTTTCCGAGTTAACGCAACACCTTTGAACTCTCTGTCTCCGCCTGTAATTAATACTCTTCAGTATACAAGCTGCTTTGTGTGTAGAGATGAATTGTAGCCCGTAATATCTAATTTCACAAAAGTGGTGGATTCATTTCAGCCGAACTCATATAAACAACCCTTAGTTGTTACATAGTTAGCTCGCTACGTCACCATGTAAAAAACAGCAGCAGCCTGTTTGATGCAGTATCAAAGAGATTGATCTACACCAAAATGGCTTTAGGACATCTTATTTTAAGAAATCCGGGAGGACAATGTCGGTCGGAAAGAATCTCTTAGGAAGTCCCCTGTTTTAACTAAATCCATAGTCAACTGTAGCAGGCAAAGCATGCATGAACTCATTATATTGAGCCCACGAACAATCCAGTCTTTTCGAAGATATGAAGACCAAGATGGTGTGGCCTTTTGTGTGGTCGTAGTCTCCTTTTGTTGTATATAAGTTGTTTGACTTTGTTTTCGCAACTTGGTCACATGGGTAGGAAGACTTAGAGGAACCCACCTAGTCCGGAGTCCATTGTATGCATGATCCTTTCCAGAGTAGGACAGTGGACGTGGTACATTCCCAGACGTTTTGCCAGCATCGTCAGTGAGTATCACCAATCTTAGTAACACACAACAACTCATCAAAGAGACAAGTGAAGCCGATCCTTTGACCAAACGTGTGCTAAACCGTTGTGTTATCGCCTGTTCTGCCCTGGGCTATTCACATTTACTATATCCTCCTATCACACCGCCACTGTTACAATTTATTCTCTTGATTAACTAAATCTAGTGTGATGTGACCTTTTGAACGGCTTTAATAAAAACCCTCCGTCCTTCACGCTGGCGTTCTCACCCCCCTTCCCCTTGGTGCAGGGAGTGTTGATCAGAGCTGCCATATTGTTAATTAGTCCTCTTTCCATAGATATTATCACACTCTCTTGCCCTGTAAGATCCGTCTACCCTCTCCCTGGTTCACATATTTCACTCGAACCTTGCCACCCCATCTGTGCGTTATTCGCCCTCCCCTGCGTCTAGGTGACTAATTCGAGGCTAAAGCCTCTGAATAAGTGTGATAGCCACGCCTTTGCCACATGGACCATGTCTTTTATAATACCTACTGTCAGCCAACTAGCTCCAATCGCTGCCGCCTCTATCCTGTTTCTATCTCTAATATCAAGTCTATTACTTGCCATGCCCTAGTCTCTTGTGCACCAAACCACAAATGTTGTGATATTGGTTGCTTTGATTTGGTTG